AATTATAGCTTGAGCATTACAAAACTTTTGAGGAGAAGAATTGATAGAATGTTTCTTTAGCAGGCTATTCATTAAAATAGTTTGTTTACATAGCTGTCTTCTTTCCCTTTGTAGTTGATCGCAGTTCTGAAACTTTGTGTAACCACCTGTTGGTATAGATATTTTCAAACTGGGAATCATGGCCATCTGTTGCAGCAAAAGTCCTGTGGCATTAAGAAGTTTATTACAGCATGAGATTTTGTTGACTAGAGCTCAGTTTACTTTGTGCATCCAATTAAATGGGCTACTATAGTCAATACAGGTGTTAAGCCCTCAAGATATCATGGGTTTATTTCAGGGTTAGGGTTAGAGTTAGGAATTGTGGGAGTTGAAGTCCAAAACACCTGGAGGGGCGATGCCTGGTTTATTTGGTTGCTTTGTTTCTCCATTATTGTAAGAAAATAAGTAACAAAGTGCTTTGGTTTTGAATTGGTTCTTTTGATTGTAAAGTCAAAGGGAAATTTAAACCAAGAGCAGGGAAGATGAATGCTGAACTGGAGAATGCATTATATGAACACTACCAAAAATATGAAAGAATGATGGGTTCCTTCAAAATATAATCTTTAGATGAAGAAATTCAAATTTTATAAAGTGAAATCGAAATGCAGTAAAAGCATTTTGGAGAAATAAATAATTTGGAATGGCAGTCACGATGGTAGTTCCTTTCAGCTTCTGTGTGTCAATAACTCATAATTCATTGTCCTCCGTAAGCAACAGAGATAGTGCTTTTCCATTCCTTTTTTACAGTGAACGTAACTGAAGGAGACATTTTTGTTGAGTTGTTTGAAAAAGGGACCTAACAGGTGAAAAGGTGTGATATGGAGGGGATTTCAAAAAGATGGACCCGATTTAAAATCGCTATATCTCCGGAACCATGAAGCAGCCAGGAATGAAACCCTTACCACTTGAAAGTGTGTGTTATAGAGTGTCAGATAACACGATGTAACAAAATTTGAAAAAAAAATCCTGGGTTGAAAGTGTTATTTCCTGTTTAATTGTGTGGTACTTCGAAAGTATTTTTTATACTCGAGAAATTTCATTTTTGTGCCACATGTTGAATTGGTTGAAAAACTAGCGAAATGTGCTGCAGGATGTCCTGCAAAAACAAAGTTAATAAACCTTTCTCATGTTTTTAATGATAGAACCCATTAGAAAATTACATTTATAATCCAGGAACAAAAATTGTGTCACATCAGTGTTTCTCAACCTTCCAAATTCTATAACTCCTTAATACAGTTCCTCATGTTGTGACCCCCAACTATAACATTATTTTCGTTGCTACTTCATAACTATAATTTTAATACTGTTATGAATCATAATGTACATATCTGATATGCAGGATGTATTTTCATTCACTGGACCAAATTTGGCACAAATACTCAATATGCCCAAATTTGAATATTGGTGGGGTTGAGAGGGATTGATTTTGTCATTTGGGAATTGTAGTTGCTGGGATTTATAGTTCACCTACAATCAAACAGCATTCTGAACCTCATCAACGAGATAATTGGGCCAAACTTCCCACACAGAACCCCCATGCCCAATAGAAAATACTGTGTTTTCTGATGGTCTTTGGCAACCTCTCTGACACCCCCTCGCGGCCTCCTCCCCAGGGATCCCGACCCCCAGGTTGAGAAACACTGTGTTACATAATGTTACTGCTGGATGACTCTCCAAACGCACAAAGAGTTCCTAGCCTCTGTCACTCATGAGATGGTGACCCCACAACATAAGGCCTAATGAGATGCCCTCCATTTGAAGAATTAATGTTAAAATTTGTCTTGCTTAAAATGGTTAGTAAAACTTGATAATTTGATAACTCATTGAACCATTTGTTACTTCTTGTGTAATTGTAGCATGTTGCCATTGTGAAATATACTGTGTCCATCATTTTGAGACACTCTGTATAGTGAATAATGCAGAGTGTATACTAAAAAGAAAAGAGACACACGGGTATAATATTTTTGATACCTTAATGCTTTATTTTGATATAAGAACAATATGTGTGAAAACCCATGTTGCTTACATTTGAATTCCCTTTTTGAAAACGTTATTACTGGCACACTAGGATGTCTGAAATGGTTAGTTTTTTAACTCATGGAGAACAATTAAATATTATTACATGGTGTAGTTGATCTTTGTGTTGTCTGTTAGTAACAGATACTCCAAAGTTATTGATTTGATGGTGTCTCCATTTATGGCATGTACTTTCTGAACAGACTTTGCAATAAATAACATAACTGACGTATGCTGGTGTTTTCTAAAATCAGCCTTGACTAAAATAACTTCTACTTCATACAAACTGTACTCAGTTGAAGTAAGCATAAACAGTTATGTCAGTCCGTGTTTTGGGGTTTAAGACTGCCAATAGAATTCTGATGTGTGGTTATCAGTCCTAAATCCTTTATTATAGAGGCTTAACAATCCCCTAGTCCATATCATGAGCTATCTTGGTGAGGAATCAACACTTAACATTAGAAACAAGCTTAGGAAGCTAAAACTGACACTGTGCGCAGCAGCCATATGGTTGCTGCTAAGTGATTAATGCAACAAGGCTGCTGCACTTACATTTGGTGTCTGGGAGAAATTCTGTGGTGGTTTAGTGGAGTAAACTCATTAAATGCTAATGGGAAAAAGTATCTTGCTTTAAATCTGTTGTAGAAAACAATATTATAACTTATTAAATAATACCAAATTTACAAAAATAACAAAAAAAATCCAGATATATTGTGAACTATTTGAATAATAGGATTGCGATTTTTCTGATTTCACTTAGAAATTGTTAATGTTTATTAAATGTATCAGTCCTCTGACTACGTGCTTCTTTGGGACCTATTTTTGAGTTAGTATTTAAAAGATTGCACTATTAACTGCCTAAAAATACACTCGCATGCTTCACTTTTCCTTTTAATAGCACACCTACTAAAGCTCAACCAACTTCCTGTATTTTGACACATTTTAGAGAGAAGGAAGGATGCACAGCTCTTACATTTAGATGGTCATGTACACAAACGAAGCTAGCTCTGCAGTATTATTTGTTGAATTCATGAACTAGCAGGAGCTCTTCATTTTTTTTCTTCCAATTATCATGGTAATTGTATATCTTAAATCATGTTTTAGGACCAGAGAGCTGTTTGTTGTTATCTAAATCAAATGTGTTCAGATAGCCCAGGTTTCAGTGTCTTTAACCATGTAGATCTAATCGTTTTGCTTGAAAGGGGGTATTTTACACTGGGCATTATTGCTGAGTCTGCTGAATTTTAAAATAGAGTTGACCTAATCAAACTAAGAAGCCATCACAATCTTGTTTTGCAGTAGAGATCCAAGCACAGACCTGCACAACCTGTGGCCCTCCAGTTGTTTGGGACTTCAACTACCAGAAGCCTCAACCAGCTTGTCCAGTGGTCAGGAGTTTTGGGAGCTGAAATCCAAAACACCTGGAGGGCCACAGGTCGTGCAGGCCTGTCTTAGCAATTACTTTGAAGGAGATCTATGTAGGCCAGGTCTGCACAACTTGGCAGTAATACGGGGCCAAAATTAAAATGGCTAAACCTCTTTGGGCTGGAGATAGGTTTTTAGCGCCTCACTCAGAGTTTGCAAGGGGGTCCCTTTCCCTCTCAGCAAGCAGCAGAGCAGATCAGCCTCGCATTTCCCTGCTTCTCCTCAATCTGGTGACAGGTTATGGTCCTTTTCTGAGGGAAAGAAGAAGTGCCTCAGCTCTTGCCTCCACTGTTCTTCCTTTGGCAGCAGGAGAAAGTAGAAGAGATTGACCACATTTAAAGGATTTAAAAATCAGGCAGAGAGTCTTCAAGGTGGGAAGATAGTAAATGGAGCAAGGAGATGACATAGAAGGACATGTCTGGCGTCCATAATTAATTAGATCAGGGTCAGGAAACATAAACTTAATCCAGTAGAAACATTGTTTAGTTTTGAATTTAGTTGCATATGGATGCAGTTCTAGATGGTGTCACATCTAAAGACTCACCTGTGCAGCTTTTATGTACTGCTTTGTTGTCATAATTAAAGGCAGAAGAAGTGTTTGTGGCTTGAAGTGCCTTCCAACAACTGCAGCTGGTGTTGTAGCTGGGTGGGGATCACATGACTTTAGTAGTTTGCTGTCATAATCCTTAGGTTAGATTATTGCGGTAAGATTTAATTTGGAGCAGCAAAATATGATACCAAATGCTTACTAGCGCTACATGTTCTGATTATATGATATATGATTATACTGCCAATTTATTACCAACGGTCCTTCATTACAGCCCTCTATCCCAGAATTTCAAGGCAAGAAATCCCACATTATCTGGGTATGGATGCAAATAACCCAGTTCAAAGCAGATATTGTGGGATTTTCTGTCTTGATATCCTGGGATATAGGGATATGTGGAAGGCCCCTAGTCATAGCATTGGTATTGGCTTCTAAGGCCTAATATCTCAAAAATGATCCACATACAAAAATATCTAGATCCGGAGTGTGTTATCTTCTCCCCTTTTCTCAGAGTTCCCTGCAATAAATGTTTAAAATCGAGATGAGAGAACAGGCCTTCTCTTTCAAAATGCCCATATTGTGGAACATGCTCCTCCAGGAAAACTTTTATGTTGACAACGTTGTCATTTTTTCGTCAACCACTAAAAACATTTCTTCTCCCTTGGGTATTGTTTATTGTTCCAAGCACTGGTGATTTTGTGCATCTGAACAAAATCTGAACTGACCTAAGCTTAATGTATATATGAGTTACAAAATGAATAAATTGGCAAAATTATTAATTCAGTCTACCATGGTTAGCCCTCCTTTTCCTATGTTCAAATAAACAATGGAATGCTTTGAATATAGTATCTGCCATTTTTAGGCAGCTAAGTTTGTCCCTAAAATTGCTTTCATGTGTTTCTTTTCATGTACAACGTTTAACATCAGATTCCCTTTCCTTTCTAATTTTTTTTTATATCTTTTTGTAAAACAGTGAGCAGAGCATCTGCCAAGCACGAGCTGCTGTAATGGTGTATGATGATGCCAATAAGAAGTGGGTACCAGCTGGTGGATCTACTGGATTTAGCAGAGTTCACATATACCATCATACAGGCAACAATACATTTAGAGTAGTTGGCAGGAAGATTCAGGATCATCAGGTGAGTGATTTCTGTAATCCAGTCAGTTATAATGATATTTTTGTTGCTAGGTCCAAAGATATTGCTCCTCTGATAGAAAGAAAAATCTTTGGATGCAACCAAGTGCCCTTACCATATTTTCCTTATTCAAAATTACACATATTTTAGGGTTTCTTAATTGTTTTCATAGGGAGGAAGTGTGTTGTTCTTCAAAATACTTAAATGTCTGTATATCTTGAAGAATCAAGATATGGTTGTAAAGTAGTTTAAAATTTGCTAGATATAATTATAATTGTCCTTGACATTTCATTTAAGAAAACCCAGGTTTAGCAGCAAGTACAGCCTCAGCCAGATATATATCTGCATTATGTATATTTCTGCATTATAACCATGTGTTATATGCATATCATAGTGTCTATCTGTGTAATTCCTGTGGGTGATATATTCAGAGGCTTGAAGGGCTGATCAGCCACCACACACACTTTTCTTCCCATATGGACAAAGTGATGGAAGATGATCTGTTTTCAGATGCCCACTCTCAGGGGCTTATTGGAAAACTGGCTCAGAAATGGTGTGATTGATTCTCTCCGCCTTCCCTATATGTTAGAAGACCAATTAAAGCAATCTGCTCTCAGGAAGCATGGACTGAGAGAGGGAATTGAAGTGCCTGTCGCATTCAAAATTCCTGCTGCAACCAATAATGTGCTTCCTATCAGAGATGACAGAGAGCTTCCAGTAAACAGCAGTCTGTAATTTTGCAGCCCTCACTGCCTTCCCATATGGTCTGAAAATTCATGTTCTTTGTCCTAAAGGCTGACATATATGAGCTTTAACAAATAACACTATGTAACACGATTTTTGTTCCTGAGTTACAAATGTTCTATCATAAAAACATGGAAATGTTTATTAAATGGTAAAAACTTTGTTTTTTGCGGTCTCCACAAAAGGTTAAAAATGGCAAATGGAAAGTAGGTTTGTGCAGAAATTTGGAGTGGTTGGTTCCCTTTGGCCAATCCGGCTTGTTTGGCTTGGTCAGATGGCCATAACGTCAAGGACCCAGCATCAAGTTTTTTTGTTGGTTATGGAACCACGTGGCTGCCAGTCACAGCTCCTCCTCCCCTATTCAGTATCACACGGTGCTTAAATATTTATTTATTTCCAGTATTTCTATCCCGTTCCTTCTCAACCCCCGAAGGGGGACTCAGGACAGATTACATTTGGCAGCAATTCGGAGCCACTACATATAACAGAGCAATATAATAACAGTGAAAACAATAAGTAAAACATTCATTAAAACAGTAAGTCGTATCACCATTCTAGTAAATTCCATATCCAATTCCATGTCCAAGGTGCTATCTATGTCTGTTGTCCAAAAGCCTGGTCCCAGAACTTCAATTTCTTCCTAAATGACAGGAGGGGTGGAGCCAATCTTACCTCAGTGGGAAGCAAGTTCCACAGGCGGGGGGCCACGGGCGAGAAGCCCGTCTCTTGTCCCCGCCAGACGTGTTTGTGACACTGGCAGGAGCGAGAGCAGGGCCTTTCTGGGTGATCTTAAACTGTGAGGCGGGACGTAAGGGGAGATGCGTTCGGACAAGTAAGCTGAGCCAGAACCATATAGATGCCATGTGTTATGCAAACCATGCCTGCTTCGTTGCTGAAACCCAGGCTCCCTTGAAGGGAAAAAAAAGGAAAGGGTCTGTGCTTCCTTAACCCTGTTGCTGAAATCCATGCTGCCTTGAAGCTAATAGATTTATACAATATCATTACAAAAAATCAGGAAAGGTAAACATCCATTCTGATGTATTCCAGTGTGTTGTGTCCTCTGAACAGCATCTAAATCTATTGAATCTATTTTGAAAAGAGAAAATGCCCACGTACCTGCAAATTAACAGGTCCAATTTTCATTTTACCTTATTTGTTTAGGTTGTGATAAATTGTGCCATTCCAAAAGGACTGAAGTACAACCAAGCAACACAGACTTTTCATCAGTGGCGGGATGCCAGACAAGTGTATGGCCTCAACTTTGGCAGTAAAGAAGATGCCAATGTTTTTGCAAGTGCCATGATGCATGCCTTAGAAGTGTTGAATTCACAAGATTCTGGTAAGACTGCCTAAAATTTCTAGTTTTGTAGGTGGATAAAGATTCAAGATCATTTGCATTTGTTTATTTCATTTTCCCTGCCTAAGTGTAGTATCCTACATTTCTCCTTGTTGAAATTCATTTTGTCAGTTTTGGCCCAGCTTTCTAACCTGTTACAGTCGTTTAGAATTTTTATCCCGTCTTCTGGAGCTATCCCTCTCACTTTGATGCCCTCGGCAAACTTGATACTCCCGCTAAAACTTCATTGAAGTAATAAATAAAGATGTTGAACAGTACTGAGTCCAGGATCAAACCCTCCAGCCCCCCACTAGTAACTTCTTTCCAGGATGAAGAAGAACCATTGGTGAGCACCCTTTGGGTTTGGTCGCTTAACCAATTGCAAATCAACCTAACTATTATTGTCGAGCCTATATTTTACTAGTTTGTTTGCAAGAAAATCATGGGGACCTTGTCAAAGGTCTTACTAAAACCAAGATATGCTACATCCACAGCATTCCCTGCATCTACCAAGCTTGTAACACTATCAAAAAAGAGATAAGATTAGTCTGGCATGAGTTGTTTTTGAGAAATCCATGTTGACTTTTAGTGATTACAATGTTTCTTTCTAAGTGTTTACAGACTGCCTTCTTAATGATCTGATCCAGAATATTTCCTGGTATAGATGTCAGGATGGCAATTGTTTTGGGTCTTCTTTTTTCCCCTTCTTGAAGTTAAGGACAACATTTGCCCTCCTTAACTTCAAGAAGGGGATTTCTCCTGTTCTCCAAGAATTCTCAAAGATTATTGCCAGTGGGTCTGAAATTTCTTCTGCTAGTTCCTTTAATACTCTTAGATGTATTTCATCTGGCCCTGGAGACTTGAATTCATTTCAGGTTGCCAAGTATTCCATGACTACTGCTTTACCTATTTTGGGTAGTATTTCCCCTTTTGCGTCATCAGCTCCATATTGCTCAGGTTAAACACCAGTTTCCTTTTGGAAGAAGAGGTACATTGTGAATACATTGTGAAAAGTGCAGTTAGTTTACATGTTGTAAAATGAATAATTGATTATAGGGATGGAAACAAGAACACAAAAAGCATTTCTAGAATTTGTTGGTGGTATGCTCATCAAGTGGAAATGCTTATTGAGTAGAAAAATATAATAACCCTCTCTGTAGCTATAATTGTGTTCAAGAATGCAGAAATGAAATTGTATCATGATATACATATTTTCTGGAGAAATCTGAATCTTCTTCATCATTCTGAATCTTATTCATATTAATAATTTACCAGCATACCAGTAGGCTTCTGAAAAGTAGTTTAAGCTCCAGAACAGTTGTTTATGGAGCAGTTGGAGTTGCCAAAAGCAAAACATATCCCTAGTTCAGTAGTACATGTTTTGTTTCGGCTTTGAAAGATGAAGCATAAGAACATTTCAAAGCAGTGGCAGCTGTTCTTGTTTAAATTAGTTTACCGAAAAGTTCTTTGATATTTTGTATAGATCACAAAAATGTACGCCAAAATAATTCTGTTTGGTCTTTTCAGAAGCCTTAGGTTTTGTTGTGTTGTCTTTCTCTGGATCTGCTACTCATTCAATAGCTACTTTTAAGATTGGTTTCTTTAAATAGATTCTATTTGAAAATAAATTTTCTTTATAATTTTCCAGTAATGGTCTAGGAATCTTTCATCCATGAAAATATTTCAGATATTATTTATTAGTGCTGTTAATATTTATTCTTGTTAGTTTTGAATATATAGTCAACCCAATTTTAACTTCCATACATTTAACCCTCATGAAAGCGGAGAGCTGACTGTAATATTACAAACTATGACGTGGCAGGAGCCAACAAAAATTTCTGCCTAGTCAATGTCAAATAAAGAGGTTCATTGATTGATAAGGAATGTTTTTAAACCACTGGATTTTGCTTTGACAGTTTTGCTTTTTTGGTAGAAGGGAAACAGTATCTACAGCTGTTCTTGAGTGAATGTGGTTGATTAATGCTCTCATGATTTTCTGTCTAATCTCATGTTAGACTATTTAGATAAAATGATAATGTGGCTGTTTATTTCTTCTGAAAGATAGCAGGTCACAGGTGCTTTGATTTATTCACTCATTTGATTTATCTGCTCGTGCTTCTTTAAGATTTGTACAATTTTTACACATACATTTTGTATTAGTTTTCAGTATAACAGTTCCGTTCAGTGTTCAATAGTATTTGAGATTATAATCTCTAAACTAGTTGCTCAAACTGCAGTTCAATATCATAGAATCATAAAGTTGGAAGAGACCTCGTGGGCCATCCGGTACAACCCCCTATCAAGAAGCAGAACAGTCGCGTTCAAAGCACCCCCAACAGATGTCCATCCAGCCTCTGTTTAAAAGCCTCCATAGAAGGAGCCTCCACCACACTTCAGGGTAGAGAGTTCCACTTCTGAACAACTTTCACAGTCAGAAAGTTCTTCCTAATGTTCAGGTGGAATCTCCTTTCCTGTAGTTTGAAGCCATTGTTCTGTGTCCTGGTCTCCAGGGCAGCAGGAAACAAGCTTGCTCCCTCCTCCTTATGACTTCTCCTCACATATTTTATACATGGCTATCATGTCTCCTCTCAGTCTTCTCTTCTGCAGGCTAAACATGCCCAGCTTTTTTAGCTGCTCCTCATAGGGCTTGTTCTCCAGACCCTTGGCAGCATCCTGTGTACCTTACAAAGAGATAATAACTTACATTCTAATTTTTAAAATATGCTGAAACCATAATATTAAATTTATTATAGATAGAGTATTTTAAATTCTTAATAGGATACTAAGATAGTGAGATGAATGCAGAAATCTGTCTTAAAAATTGGTTTTCCAGGTCTTCCTTTCCTTAAGATACATTTGGAAATGGTTGAAGGACTTGCATTATATCCCTCTTCACTCTCATTAATGCATTTCCTGTGCCTTCCCCTTCAACTTTAATCATGGTTGCAGATTACATCACTACAAACATTAATGAGCTTTAATACTGATAGGTTTCCTTTTAATGAAGATGTATATTACTCTATTTTAAAACTCTCATTTGAGAGTGTCCTGGTCGTTGTTAATTATAGGCTGCAGTTATTAGTTAAGGAGAACTCTGGTTGAAGGATGAGGATGTAGAGATAGGAACTCAATAAAACTAGAGAGGTTAATGAGGAAAAAAATGCAGTCCTGTGACCTTTTGTGCAGAAAACTATACTTCTTTTTCAGAAGTGATTGTCCTAATGGAAATATTTGAGAATGTTTGGTTCTGTTAACCCTATCATCATCATGGGCAATCACTCATGTCTCAGTGTGATTGGCTTCGAGGTAGAGTCTTGGCAGTGGATCTGTAGATGACTGTGAAGACCTATTATGGGTTCACATGGTCTTTCACAGTATTGTCCCTAGGAAGCTAGAGAAATATTGTTTGCAGGTATTTAGGATGTTTTCTACATAGGAGACATAAGGAAACAGAAAGGATGGAACTCCCTCCCCCACCCAATATACATCATGTTTATAATGAGCTCCTAGTATAAATTTTCGACCCCTGAGTTTAGTAACATGCTTGCCACACGTGATTAATAATTCTATGGCAAGAAGATGAAACCAAGTAATTGGCAGCTGTGAAATAATATGAGAAGAAAACTGACCCTATAATTCTACATGCTAATGTAATTATGGTTATGTTCACTCACATTGACAATTGTTCAACAGACACCCGTCTTTCTGAAATCTCTATAAACCGTATAATGACAAGATGATTGAACAAATTTTGATTTATAACAGAACAGCAAGTGATACAGTTTCCTAGCACCAACTGCATTTAATGTTAGTGTAGCCACATATCCATTAGTAATTCAGCCCAAGAAAAACATTCTTGGTGTCTTTTGTTTTTAAGTCCCTGGAGTTATTCAGAAAATTGCATCAGCTAGACAGCATCAGCTTTTGTTTTTTAGATATAGTTATGATGATTCTTTATGGACAAGTAGATGTGTGCTGTCACGCGCTGGGCCTGTGAAAGAGTCTGTAGACAGGACGTGTTTTCTGTACGCCCAGCGGGACGCCAGGGGTGCCTCGGCTGGGAGACCTTTCGGATTTTCCCACACAAAGTTCTTTTAGAGACTTAGAAAGTTCAACAAAGGTTTTATTGTTGCTTAAATCTTTAATAAATCAAACAAATACTTCCAGGCTTTGAATCAACTGGTGGCTTGCTTAAATCTTGTCCACAAGGGACAGGCAACTTTTTTCATAAATTGTTTCTTCCTTCTATAAGGGAAATCCTTGACTCCCCCTTGGGCAATCTATATTTAGGCTTTGCTGGCGTGGGGCCCCTACACCCGGTTCCAATTTGCGTTATGGCTGCCGCGAGAGGTTCTTACCAGGCCAAAGTCTCTGTGTAGAAGAAGTCCTTTGTTTCCCAGCGAAGGCTGGCTGAAAAACCGTGGAGCTGTATTTCTCCAGTAAAGAGCTGGCTGTAGAGTTGTGGAACTAAATTCCCCAACAAAGGCTATGCTGTAGTTTTCTGTAGAGCTGTGGGACTGGATCCCCCCAGCAAAGCTGTAAAAGGCGAAGCTTTCTACAGGTGAACTGATTCACGTCCTGTACGAAAGGCTTCTCTGTGTGAACTGAACTAGAGGTCCCCTTTTCCCCTCCTTAGCCCAGAAAAAGAACATAATGATAACTAAAGAACATAATGATAACTGATGGGTCATTGGCCCTATTATTGCAAACCAAGGGAAGCCACCTTATTGCAAAATGCATGGAACTTTGGAATACATGCAAACACTCAATAGAAAGGAAAAGAAGTTGGAGCTCCTGATACAGCCCATACCAGCACAAGATGGCAACTGGTATATGGCATATATTCCGTGTCTCAAAAACTAGAACCGAGAGGGGGAAACTGGTACCATTTTTGGAATTACCGGGTCAAGTTATCCCCAGAATCAGATCTAACATGTGTGCTGGCCAGTGTGTGTAATATTCATTTCATTTTAGGGGTTTGGATCTTCAGTTAAGTCTTGGGAGTCTGCACCACCAGAAGATATTTTAAAGGGCTCCCTGATAAAGAAAGATTAAGAACCGCTGTTCCAAATAGTAGAATCAGCAAACTACTCCGAAGGGAGTCAGGGCGGTTTCCAACATGTATGGCAAACATCTAGTGCCAAAAAGGGGAAAACATACAAACAAATTACATCAGGACAGACCACATTGAGCAATAAAAAGCAACCTAACTTTAAACTTAATAACAGATAAATAACCAACAATGAAAACTTAAATGACCCAAAATGTCTGAATTATTTAACATAGTTTATTTAGTTAAAGCAAAACTATCTTGCTCAGAAAACTTATTAAAGTAATCTGGTCCCTGAAATATTGTGTAGTTTTCAAAAAGGGCAGTTTTAGTCACTTGACTGAATCCTCTCAAGTTGGAGGAAATGGAAGAATAAAGGGAGTGAGATAAAGAACAGTGCAGAGTGGACTTCATGTGCTTTCTTCCCTTCAGACCCATTGTGTTCATTCTTAGATGTCATTCGCTAATCTTGCTCTTGGGCAGGCTCCAGCAGTTGCTTGCCTCTTCTCTCTTGAGAATAAGACAAACAGAACAGATTTGATGTATTGTTGAAGGCTTTCATGGCTAGAATCACTGGGTTGTTGTAGGTTTTTTGTGAGGTCCTCACAACTTCTGAGGATGCTTGCCATAGATGCAGGCGAAACGCCAGAAGAGAATGCTTCTAGAACATGGCCATATAGCCCAGAAAACCTACAACAACCCAGAACAGATTTGGTGGAGAAACAAAGTGTGTGTGTGTGTGTGTGTGTGAGAGAGAGAGAGAGAGAGAGAGGTCCTCCTCATACTTGAAGAGGGCTGGGGATGTGGCGATGAACTCTCCCAAAGAAACCATGGCTGGGTAGGCTCTGGAAGTGGTGATGACCAGGTCACCACCATGTCCTTTCTAGCATTGCTATACCTCTTGAGTTTGAACTTATGAAAACAATTAAAAACAACAACAACAACTTTATTTTTGTACCCCGCCTCCATCTCCCCAAAGGGACTCGGGGTGGCTTGCATGGGGACGAGCCTGAACAACATGGTTAAAACATAGCACATTAAAATAATAAAACAACAACATAGAACAAAATAAAACAACAGCATTATAATAAAATATAAAGACAAACATCAAACCAATAACCAGTGAGCTCTGCGATAATGATCAGTTTGCTTAAAAGTGTAAGGTATAAAATACAACTGATCAGTATCCCTTCCCAAGGACACCAAAATCAAAATCATGTATATGTCTAGAAAAATGAGCCATCCCCTTCTCTGGGTAGTGTGGTGAAAAGCAAGAGATAATCTGTCTTGGAAGAGCCTAAAAGAAGCACCAACCCCTTCTTCTTTCTGTACCACTCTGCTGCTTCTGACCTTTTAAATGTCTAGAGGGGGAAATGACGGAAGGAGTGCCATGGGGTGACTGGCTCCTGGGGCATCATTGGTGCTCTCTTCTCCATGGAAAGACTGGTGACTTATTCATGGGTCATATCAAAAGTCATTGTTTGGACCCCAAACTCTGAGATCAACTTATACATAAGGTCGACTTGTATGTGAAGATATGCGGTATATAAAATGGCAAAATAAAGGTTTACTTTCTGGAGTTTTAAAAATGTTCAAGTCATTCGTGGTTGAATCCATAGATGCAGAATCTGTGGATGTGAAGGGCCAATCATTGCTTGCATTTCTTTGCCTTTTCAGTTATGGTGTATGTAAAACCTGTTTGAGAGTGACAGAGAGAGAGCTGAGTCATGTATTTTTTTTATCTTTTTTCGAGGGCTCTCTGCTTCAGCATAGAGACACTATAAAGAGTTACTCGTTCATGGATTCTTTTATTCTAGCAACCCCTCCGAACATAGAGACGATCCACATTGCATAATATAGCAATTTGACACCATATTCGCTGCTGTGGCGCCATCCTATGATACCTGGGGCTTACCCTCACCCACATGCCATATCTCCAGTTAATACTCCGGTTTAATATAAGAAAATATTCTCCCTATGAACCATCTAGGAGCTTAAGATCAGCTGGGGAGGCCCTACTCTCAGTCCCGCCTTCTTCACAGGCACAACTGGCAGGGACGAGAGACAGGGCCTTCTCGGTGGTGGCCCCTCAGCTGTGGAACTCCCTCCCTAGGGGGTATTACATCAGCCCCCTCTCTCCTGACCTTCCAGAAAAAAGTAAAAACCTGGCTTTTCAAACAAGCCTTTGGAAATGAAGTGCAACAGACAAACACAGAACTGTGTGATACAGAATTGTGGAATGGCCCAGATGATATTTTTGAACGAGATTAACAGTGAAGACATTGGTTTTATATGTTTTTAATGGTTTTATTGTTTGGATTTTACAAATACGTTTTAAATGTTATAATTATATTTTGTTATGGCATCGAATGGCAGCCAGGTTGTAAGCTGCCTTGAGTCACTTTCGGGTTCGAGAAAGGCAAGATAGAAATATTGTAAACAAATAAATAAAATGCATAGAATACATGAGTACATTTGGTTCATAAGACATGGCTTTAAAAGGAACCAGTGATTAGATATGACTTCTCTGTGCATTTATACTTGCTTGTTGTTAGAGAAATGTATAAACTTCCTCCGAGACTCAGATTCAAAAACAATTAGTTCCCCCTGGTTTCATCAGAAGCAAACACGTCAGAATCACTTAGTTTTTGTAATAATCATGAAGCTGCTACTCTTTTTTTTCCAAACAAGAATTAACCAAAAATTATTTTGAGTTTTGTGGGAGAAAACCATGGCCTTAAACAGGCCAAGGGACCCTCAGAATCTGACTAAATTGCCTCCAAAACTCCAAGAAATTGCAATATAGATTTTTTAGTAAACACACACACAAACATATATGTTTATTGGGAGATGGGAGGACATGGAGTAGTGTTTGCAAGTCATGCTTCCTGCTCATCCCCTGGCTGCATACAGCCATGGATTTTGTTTTCTCTGTCCTGAGAGATTTGAGCTATAGAACTATACTGGCAGTCCCCAAGTTACAAACTTTCAGTATCAAAATGACTCATAGTTAATAAGGGGGGTAAGACAACAAGAAGTGAAAGGTATCTACTAGGCTTGGGCGGTTTCGTTCGTTAATTTCGTAATTCGTTATTAATTCGTATTTAAATTAGCTTACGATCCAATATTGAGCCATGCAGGACTACTGTGAGGAGTAATTAAAAATCGAAACAATTTTTCCAATTTATTTCGTATTGTTTCGTAATCGGTTCAAAATTGTTTTGAAATTGTTTCGTATTATTTCCGTATGTCTGGTGCAAGTTTTATAGTTGTTGTTTGTTTTATCAATGATAAAAAATAAATTATCACACCAACAGTCAACAACAGAGGGAGAGGGAAGCTTCAGAAGTTTCCCCTGTCCCATTTGGAGGGTTTTTTAGCATATTGCGCAATCGCGTCCGCCATTAACGAATCGATTCGTAATTTTATGAAATTTCGTATATTTCGAACTTTTTTAAAGGAAAATTTTGGAATTCTTTAAAAAAACGAAACGCGAGGGCCCCCCTAAAAACGAAACGAGTTTAGAACCAATTTTTTCCGTTGTTACCCAAGCCTAGTATCTACTCCTCAAAAGGGAAATTCACTCCTGAAAGAGTTGCCATGGGGAAAGGTGTCTCCACTGAAGCTTTATCTCCAGTCCTTGTTTCCACAACAAGCCAAATTTTCCAAAATCCAGTTGTCGCAGGGACAAAAAGTGAGGTGAAATCTTCTGAACAGGGGCAAAGGCAACAAAACAAACACCACAAGGGCGTTAATCCTTCCCTATGCTATTCAAAGCTAAAATATAGATATTATTGGCAGAGTTATGCTTTAGAAATGTACCTGTTCTGACTTACATACAAAATCATCTTAAGAACAAACTTATAGAACCTATCTTGTTTGTAAGTTGAGGATGCCTATATAGCTACATTACTTGCATACTACATGACTACGTGATCTGCCTTTCAATACACTCTAGCTGACAGGTTCAATTTAAAGTGTTTTAGAATACTTACTTAGACAGAAATATCTAATGTGAGGTGAACCTTACCCATTGTTGATGTGCAAATACTTTTAAAAGGATATCAAAACAGTTCATTAAATATCCTTATTTTATACTGTCTTGAAGGTTACATTTTATACATATAGAAGAACTCAATAATTGCTTGTCGTCTCTATAAAACACCAGATGAAGCTTCTAGAGCTGGGAACTGTAAGGCTTTCTCACTATTTGTGGGTATTCTAGATGATCGTAATAAAATATATTCATCAACTAGCCTTCTTGGCTTATTCTCCAACATAGTTTGCTATGTTTTTGCAATTCCTTTATTACATAAAACAATGTTAATTAGGATACTGATTAGATAATATGATCTTAAAAAGAATAACATTTAGTCTAAATAATAATGAATAATTGGCGTTTAATTTCTGTCACCCCAGGTGAAAGAACAACTGCTCATATTTGATAGTTTATTGATGTATATGTCTTGTATCCTGATTTTCCACAAGCATTGCCTTGAATTCAAAACATTGTGTGTAAGGTTTTGAAACATATAAGAATGGCGAATATATTCACAATATTTTCAGTAGTGATGAATAGCTTCACTCTTCATATTTATGTTGAATTATTTTTCAGTTAGATGTTGTAAAACTAGAAAACACTATTGAGGATGGTGCTCAGTTACATTTTGTGTGAAATACAGGTTTTGGGAGTTACTGTAAACAAAACAAGTAAATAACCAAAAGTTTGCATTGGACTTTACATGTGATTTCTTCAAATAAAAGTTAATGTATCATGTATCTTTTTTCAGGTCCAACGTTGCCTCGACAAAATGCACAACTTCCTACACAAGTGCAAAATGGTCCATCACAAGAAGATATAGAAATTCAGAGGAGGTTAGTATGGTTTGATGAATAACAGACATTACAATGTTGATTATGCTTATTTTTATTGAGATTATTCAGGGTTCTCAGAGGCATCTTCTCAGAATAGATGTATTCTAGATGGTTTGCTTGTTTATTTTTCTTTAAAGGTGTGATTTCTATGGAATGCAAAAGATATCCACACATTTTGGCTGGACTTAGATTTTGCATTTGCTATGGTCGTAAGATATTTGAAGGCTGCCGTTCCCTTTATTGGAGGTCCTAAACACATAGTAAGGTGCAAATCTTATCAAATTCAGAGAGTATTATAAAAAGACGTACAGTAGAGTCTCACTTATCCAACCTTCTCTCATCCAACGTTCTGTATTATCCAACGCAGTCGGCCTCCCACCCGGATCCACAGCTGTTTCAATACATTGTGATATTTTGGTGCTAAATTAATAAATACAGTAATTACTACATAGCATTATTTATTTATTTATTTACTTTATTTACTTTATTTGTATACCGCACTATCTCAGCCCGTAGGCGACTCAGTGCGGTTTACAACAGGACAATATACAAAGTGCATAGCATTAGCATTTAAAACTGTCACTAAAGCAGTTAAAAACAATACAACAATACATCGGTAAATGAACAAACATCAATACATCTAATAACTAATCCGTCACGTCTCATCAGTAAAATCACAATCCGATCTCCTCATCCATTATTCCAGTTCCAAACTCAGTCAATTGATTGTATCAAACTGCTTTTTCTGTCGATTTGTTGTAAAACATGTTTTAGTGCTCAGTTTGTAAAATCATAACATAATTTGATGTTTAATAGGCTTTTCCTTAATCCCTACCTATTATCCAACATTTTTGTGTATCCAACATTCTGCCAGCCCATTTATGTTGGATAAGCAAGACTCTACTGCAGGGGTCCTCAAACTTTTTAAACAGAGGGCCAGGTCACAGTCCCTCAAACTGTTTGGAGGGCCGGATTATAATTTTTTAAAAAACATGAACGAATTCCTATGCGCACTGCACATATCTTATTTGTAGTGTAAAAAACACTTCAAAATAATACAATAATTAAAATTAAGAATAATTTTAACAAATATAAACTTATTAGTATTTCTGAAACTCCCTGCCTTTCTCCATTATCCAGCGGATATTGGCAATTTGGTCTCTCGTTTCTCTGCCCTTTCTAAACCCAGCTTGTACATCTGGCAACTCTCGCTCCATGTATTGCTTGAGTCTTCCTTGCAAGATCTTGAGCATTATCTTACTAGCATGAGAAATAAGGACCACTGTACGAAAGTTTGAGCAGCCTTTAGCATTTCCCTTTTTTGGTATGGGGATATAAGTTGATTTTTTCCAGTCTGATGGCCATTCTTTCCCACTAGTAGAGTCCTATAAAGCTTAATTTTGCTGTCTGTCTCACTTCTGTATAATCATAGTCAGAAAACCATTGATAGGCTATACAGTTTGTCTTCTATTCTCTACCACTTCTCTATTCAACCCCACTCGAACCTCTCAGTAGTTTCCTCTAAAACTCAAGGGAGTTTTGGAATACCATTTATTAGTTTGCCATTTGGAAGAAAAGAAGCGCGCGTGTGTGTGTGTGACTGTTGCATTGTGCTAAGCTGAAAATCCTATTGAGTATACTTTAAAAAGACTTTAGGATTGTAGCCAGCAACTCAGGTCAAGCTGATGGCCAGTCTGAGTAATATTCTTGTAAAGACAAAAGAGGAGGGATTAATAAACAGGTATCTTCTGCAGTATACAAACTGATAGTATTAAGGCTAAGTTTCTTCATTTGTCTCCTGTCTCCAGCCACATACCCCACTTTATTTGGTTGATTTTTTGATAGCATGTAGTCTGTTCATTCAGGATTAGTGGTTACTATTTAAAACATACAGCTTTTATGACATGTTTGATTTTTGGGCATTAAGCTGTAACCATGAATTTAGATGATGTCTTTGTAGTCTTTGGCTTCTCTTGGAACACGAGAAAAGACTTCTCTATGTGTTGACCATGAACTCATATATTACTTATGAAAGAAATCTTGGGAGCTGGCATTCATAAAAGCTTGTCTTGGGTTTTTGCTTCTGTGATATTGTCTGTGCCATTTATGGAGAGAAACCTATTTCTGAGAGATGTAGCTGAGAGCGCACATGGCAATAGCATCTGAAGATTTATTTCAGATCCTCTTAGTGCAATCTTACTAACATTGAAGATAAACATGGATTGACCTTTAACCAGGATAATATTTTCCACAAACTAAGATTTGCTCAAATAGCTGGTAGTACCTATAATGGGATGTATGATTGGACATTTTTGTCCCTTCACCTAGCTTAGATTTTTAAAGACCTTTGCCTTGCAGAGGAATGGCAAGTTGTAAACCCTGGAAGCATTAATCATCCTTTTTTCATGATTTCCTTTTCAGACCATCAGATTCAAAGAACTGTAGCCAGGCTGTGAACTGATGCAAGTTAAAGAGACTGTGGCCCCTTCTGCACTTACATATAATCCAGATTGTCAAAGCAGATAATGTGGAAAAGGATTATATGGGTCTACACTGCCATATAATCCAGTTCAAATCAGATAATCTGGATTTTATAAGGCACTGTAGAAGGAGTCTCAGATTCCAAAACATTATATATCCGAAATCATCTATATACATAAAACAGAACATTTTGAAAGAAGAGGCTTATAGCAGGCATGGGCAAACTTTGGCCCTCCAGGTGTTTTGGACTTCAACTCCCACAATTCCTAACAGCCGGTAGGCTGTTAGGAATTGTGGGAGTTGAAGTCCAAAACACCTGGAGGGCCAAAGTTTGCCCATGCCTGCTCTAGCCTCTTCTTTGGGGGAATTGAAGTTTAAACTCCTGGAGGGCCAAAGTTTGCCCATGCCTGGGCTAGAAGACGCTATATAGTTTTAACTGATGAGTTACTTACGATTTTAAAATTACATGTTATTATTTCAACAAGGTGTAGATTATTTTAGTGCTGTAAATAGTTTGATTCTGTTTTAGTATTCACTTTTTGTATATTTTAATTGTATTCCTTTAAATTATGAGCCACTTTTGGGTCCCAATTGTGGGAGGAAAGTGGGATATAAATAAATTATATCAATCAATCTTCGAAACACTTGAAGAAATGTATTTACATCGGTTGACTTTGAATGAAAGTGATTTTTTCCTCATTAGCAATAGCATCAATCAAGATGAGTTTTTGAATTGGCAGTGTTATAAACTAATCTAAATATGTGCCATTTTGATGACAACAAACTCATGTTGGCTATAAAACTAACATTTCTGCCAAATATATTTTCTCCGTGGTGTATTCGCTTTCCAGTCTTTTGTCCAAGTCCATCAAATCCACAAGAGTAATTTTGGCACTCTGTGGCTATCAGCAGGGCAATGAAAGTTTACTTTAAAAGAATGGGGTCAATTAGACACACTAAAGCTCTGTTAATTTCTTTTTGCTCCAAGTCATCAGGGTGCAGAGCAACCACATTGATGAAAGCAAGTTGGATTAATGCATGCAACTTTTAACATTATGACTTACTCTGTGTTCAAAGACCTCAGCACATGCGGACCCCATGCCATGAGGAGCATGACAATGACCTAGGCATATTAGGTTTCAGCCTTCTTAGAGGATGAATGCAGGACTGAAGGTTGGAAAGAGACTGCTATTTTTATCAGGCATTACAAATTAGACGAATATTGCTCAGCACAGGTGACTTTGGATTGCTTACAGGCAGTTGTTTCAGTAAAGAGCAGCTATACCCACCTGATTAATTTAGGGCCCTTCCACACAGTCCTATATCCCAGGATATCAAGGCAGAAAATCCCACAATATCTGCTTTGAACTGGGTTAAGTGAGTCCACACTCAGATAATGTGGGATTTTCTGCCTTGATATCCTGGGATATAGGGCTTTGTGGAAGGGCCCTCCGAGCCTGATGTGACTCACGTTTAAGTGGATTGTTCCTCTGACTATCCGGGAATGAATATGAATGTGTTCTAACTTTGGGTACATCTACACTGCAGAATTAATGCATTGACCCCATTTATCTGCCATTGCTCAATGCTATGGAATCATGGGAGTGAATGTTTTAAAAAAGGTCTTTATCTTTCTCTGCCAAAGAGTGCTGATATCTCACTGGACTACAATATTTATTTATTTACTTACTTACTTTATTTATATACCGCTTTTCTCAACCCTCAGGCAACTCAAAGCGGTGAACAACATCGTTACAAAACATCACGAGACAAGTATAGGGCAATTAAAAACAATTGTAACATAAATCATTAAACATCACTGTAACAATCACTAGCTCCTCAACAGTAAAATCAGAATCCAGTCTCATCATCCATTATTCCATATTCCTATGTTCAATTACACTGTTTAATCAAATGCTTGTTCGAACAGCCAGGTCTTCACTTACCCATGATTTCATAAGGATTGAGCCATTGCAGTTAAAATAGTACAGTAATTGCACAGTGTATATACACTATTAGTCATATTTTACTTTTGTTTCTCTTTAGTCCTTAACAATTGATCTGTTTTCCAATTAGACTGTTCTTTTTTCAGTGTGCAGATACAATAGGGCCTTGGTATGCACTGGGGCTTGATTCGAAGGCGCCCCACCCCCATGGATATCAAAATCCATGGGCGCAGAAGAAGTCGTATTATATAGCATAGTAAACTGCTGTCCCTTATATAAATTGTTAAAAGCAAAGTTTGCTTTTTTGAAAGTTTTGGAGAGGTGATAATATTTTCCAGTTGTGTATGTATGAATCCATGGATGCAGAATCTGTAGGTATGGACAGCTGACTACAGTGTCTTTTTGCATTAGTCTGTTGATTAGGTTTGGTAGTGCAAATCTGTTTGTATGGTCTTTGAATTCTACAGAGGTGTTTTTAGTATTTTGGTACTCTTCTGCTTTCAGTTGCATAGTCTATTTCATTTCTATGTTGGTCGTCCAATGATTTCCAGGTGCGTCGTCATCACAACATTT